AGAAGGTCATCAAAGTTAGCCACGAAACCAGAAACCCTCATTTCACCTCTTCATCACAGCCTCCTCCACTGCAACCTCCACGGCTCCACCACATCCCGGCGAGAATAGTAACTCCGCCGCCTCCACGGCTCCACCTCAGTCTCTTCACAACCAACCTGCTTCTCACATCTCTCCTCTCGCATCTCGCATCTCGCCACCCCCAAAGTCCCTGCTGCTCAGCTCTCGCTACCCTACATCACCTGCTCCTTGGCTCTCGACTTCAAAGGTAATATTTTGTTTTCCATTGGAGATTATGAATAGCTTCATCAGAACTTCAAACTGAAATCGGGCATCTTCTTCATTTACTTGATGATTTAGGTTTTCTGATTAATTGGCATGATTATTTATTAAATTAATAGAGTGAGATATAAATGATTGGCTGACTCTTGTTGTTTTGGGGATTGAATTTCTTTGATGTGTATTTGCCTATTTCTTTGCTGTGTTTTGAGGATAGAAAGCAAGTTACAATTATTATGCTTTAACTGGGAGCATCTAGCTTTGCAGGGGACCTTGTTTTACAACATTCAAACAAATATAAATCTGGATGACCCAAAATATTTATGCCTCAGTTAATTAAGAGGTCTTTTTTTTCAAAATTTTCGTTCCGTTAATGTATAAAAGGGTTAATTTCAATCTCCAGTTACATGGTTTTTAATCATTGCATCAAGAATATTATGTATAAAAATGTTGCATGGTTTTTAATCATTGCCTATTTCTTTGCTGTGTTTTGAGGATAGAAAGCAAGTTACAATTATTATGCTTTAACTGGGAGCATCTAGCTTTGCCTCAGTTAATTAAGAGGTCTTTTTTTTCAAAATTTTCGTTCCGTTAATGTATAAAAGGGTTAATTTCAATCTCCAGTTACATGGTTTTTAATCATTGCATCAAGAATATTATGTATAAAAATGTTACATGGTTTTTAATCATTGCCTATATCTTTGCTGTGTTTTGAGGATAGAAAGCAAGTTACAATTATTATGCTTTAACTGGGAGCATCTAGCTTTGCAGGGGACCTTGTTTTACAACATTCAAACAAATATAAATCTGGATGACCCAAAATATTTATGCCTCAGTTAATTAAGAGGTCTTTTTTTTCAAAATTTTCGTTCCGTTAATGTATAAAAGGGTTAATTTCAATCTCCAGTTACATGGTTTTTAATCATTGCATCAAGAATATTATGTATAAAAATGTTGCATGGTTTATGTATAAAAATGTTACAGGATTACTGTTGTGATTACTATGTTTTAGATAATCTTTGCATGTGATCATATTATTTAGTATAATATATATATAAATGTAGCTTGTGAATTATGTACGAAAATATATATAAATAGATTTATTAATATTTGTACGAGTCTGTCTAGGTTTAGATGAATACATGCTTAGTAGATAGTCTCCAATTCCGCTGCCTAGAAAGAACCTATAAACTTTATCTCCTTAATTATATTGTTATCCAATTTTTTTTGTACCTAATTATTACTAATTTAAGAAAATAAAATTATTTATCCCAAAATATATTTTTTGAATACAATCATTATTTTATCATATTGTTATTGATTTTCTATTATTGCTCATATTCCAATAATAGATTTGTTATAACTACGAGACATCCACAACATTATTACTAAAATTATATAATATAATTACTAATTTTGAAAAGTCATGTTGTTATAAGTTATAACTTTTAAAGGTTTAAACAATTTAAAACAAAGATATATGCAATATGTGTAATTAAAAGAATAAGAACTTTTTGCAATTTATTCCTAGTATTTCAAATAAATAGGACTATTCTTGCAATAAAAAAATATTTAAGATTGATTTTGTAAAAGTTGGAAGTAAATTTACAACTTATAATATTCTATGGGACTACTTTTGCAATTTTTCTTTTGTATATCAATCATCTAACGGGGCCTCCGTTAACTCTTAACGGCCATCGGACTAGGGATGGCAAAACGACCTGGACCCGGTCCGACTCGCCCTGACCCGGAGCATTTGGGGCAGGGAAAATTTGCCCCGTTTCTATAACGGGCCGGGCCAAGTCCGACCCGTAGTATAAGCGGGCCAGGTCCGGGTCTTGAATCTCGGCCCGCCCCGACCCGCCCCGACCCGGCCTGACCTGTCCCAGGCTGATTTTTGTCTTTTATTTTTTTATAAAAATTATATATCATATATATAGTATATAATGTAAATTAGGGAATAGGGATTAGGTTTGAGAAAAGAGAAATTTCTGTCCCTTTGCATCTCGCTCTCGCACAGCCACAACCGCACCATCCCTACTCACTCCATCACTCGTCGCCTCTCTCTCACAGTCGCTATCTCCGGCGGTCCGGCGTCTTAAGCCTCTCGACACAGTACACACTCGCGAAGTCCGACAAAGCCTCTTCTTCGCGCCTCGACCGCTCGACGCCTCACCTCCGAAGTCCGACCCAAAAGCTCCGGCCGCTCCTCGCCTTGCCTCTAAGACCCGCCTCACCTCCGAGGCTCCGACATAAAGGTTCGACGCCCCGCCTCCGACTCGACTCCAATTTCAGATTTAAAAAAAAAAAAAGTTCAATGCTATCGTGTATTAGTATGTAATTAGATGTTAAGAACTTAAGATGTTGAAATTGAAATATATTTCTTGTGATTTGAATTGCTGTGGAATTTGGTATGACTGGGAGTTAGGATGGATTTATGTTTAGGAATTAGGATAAATTGCTGTGTTGTTATCTTGAGTTAGGATGGATTTGGTATGGCTTAAAAGGAAGATGAATTGCTGTGCTGTGCATATGTAACTTTTCAGTTGTTTTTTTTTTTCTTTTTCTTTTTCTGTTGTGAAGCAGCAATCTGCTGCAACTGTGTTGCTAAATTGCAACAATGGAGCAAAAAACATAGGTCAAGGCGGGTCGAACTGGGTCAGGCACGGGCCACAGGTCAGGTCGGGCCGACCTGCCCCGAAACGGGTCAGGGCACGGGTCCGATCTGTTGGACCCGTCACGGGTCACGGGCCAGGTCGGGTCCACAGGGCAAAAACACGGGCCAGGTCTGGGTACGTAGGTACCCGGCCCGACCTGGCCCATTGCCATCCCTACATCGGACCATTGTACTATAAAATTTCAACCAAAAAAAAAAAGAAAAAGAATTTTGCAATTTTCGGGATCCAAATCCAATCACTCCCAGGGACTAATTTTACAATTTTCTGGTTTTGTTATAAATAATAGAAAGTCCTGAAAGTCCCCCTTCTCTGGAAGCTGCTGTTTTTCTGTTCTCCGCCGGTTCCCAAACGCTAACCGGTACCTTCTCTTGCGTAAGGTCCATGCGCCTCCTTTCTCTTTCTCTTCTCCCCCGAGTCTTCTTATTTAGTTTATCTAGGAACAAAGTTGTTTGAGGTCTTTAATCATTTTCAATTTTTCCTTTTCTCGTAATTACCAACTGAATAAAAGGGAACTTGTCTCTTTTCGCGATTCTTCTTTCTGTAATACTTAATGACCTGGTGTGCTGATGGAATAAGCTGAGTCGTTGATGTCTAATTATTCATTTTCCGGTGAAATTGGTGATTCAAGGTGGTGTAGTGATGTTTTTACTTGGTGGGACTTCTTTATGGGCCTCACTGATGCAGTGAGCTTCTTGTTTGCGGCTGCTGTTTGGTGTGCCTCATATGCTGTAGTTGCAGTTCTCGGAGTCTTTCGGGCCTTTGATTTTGTCTTTACCTCCGTTTCCAACTGACTCTAAGGAACTATAGGAATAAAGAGAAGTGAAAAAGAGGCAAGAAAAGTTATCATGGGCTACGCACAGTTAGTCATTGGGCCTGCTGGCAGTGGAAAGGTTATTATTCCAACTTATCTCTTAAAGATGGTTCTTTGTTGTATGAATTTTAATATTGCCCTCCTTCAAATCTTTGGGCTAAGAATTCTGACTTATTCACCTCTTTAATTGGTTATTTGCATATTTGTTTTAATTATACGAGAAAATTCCTGCTACAATCGGTTGTATTTGGACCCATTTTTGCAGTCTACGTACTGTTCTAGCTTGTATCAACACTGTGAAGCTGTGGGCCGATCAATTCATGTTGTAAATCTGGATCCTGCTGCAGAGAATTTCGACTATCCTGTTGCAATGGGTGAGTTTAACCTCAATTAACGTGCTTGGCTGGTTTTCTGGAATTGTACTTACAACGAGATTTCTGAAAATGTTTCCAGATATTAGGGAGCTCATTTCTCTGGAGGATGTTATGGAGGAACTTGGATTGGGTCCGAATGGTGGTCTTTTATACTGCATGGAGTATCCTTTGCCTATGTGGTAGTCTTTGATTTTTTTCTAGTGTATTCTTGTTTGGTGAAGTCGTCTTTTCCCTCCATCTTCTTGGCTTTTGTTAAAGTGATGAACTGAGACGAACAGTTTTAGATTCCTTGTTACTATGCTTTCTTTCTATTATTTGGTTTGCAGCCTTAACTAGCACTCAGGCATCTGGAAGATAATTTGGATGATTGGCTGACGGAAGAGTTGGATAATTACATGGATGATGATTACTTAGTGTTTGACTGTCCAGGTATTCATGGATATTCCGGGTCTATCCCCTGTCTTGATGCACAAAGTTTCAGTATTGTTGATCGTTAATATATCTGGGAGTCTTAAGATATAACAAATCATTTAGAGTTGTTTTACTTCAACTTTCTTCTTGTAAATACTTTGTGCAATACTGGCGAATAGTTTACGGTTCGTAAATTCCAGAAGTTTTTCGGAGGGAAAAATTTCTTTGGTATCCATTGCTGTGGGAATGAAGAATAAATATGAAAGAGATACTGGAGCGACTCTGTACTATTCATCTAGACATAGTTTGCAAGCATACATAGATTTACTATTGTGGCTTATTTGTGCTGAGATGGCATGTCTGTGATACTTGTTCTGGAAAAATTACCTTTATTTTTGCGCTGAATGTTACAATGGCTTCAAGTAGTATGCTTCAGGGTTCTGCCCATGTGAACTTGGCTTTGAGCGGAACAACTTCTGTAGTAATTTTTACTCAATTTCATTTCTTCATTGTCAATGATCTTACATTTTCAAAAGTCAGTTTGAACAACTCCACTAGTTCCGTGTTTCCAGAAAGAATGTGTTTTCCTTTCCATTTTCAAATATGGAGGAGATGGTTGTGGTTGATTCCTTGACAGCCTGTGTTGGGAATGCATAAAACCTGCATAGTACTAAATGGAGGTCTTTATTGTGTGCTCATGTTTTGGATCCTGAAAAAGGGAAAATACCATGCAGAATAAACTGTCCTTTCTCAAACTCGTACTTGATCTAGCATGGAGAACTTTCCTCTTTGATTTAGTATTTTTTTTTAACTCATGGACTAACTAAAGTCCGCTACTGCACATGTCAGTTTTGTTATTAAATCATCTAAGGGTCCATTTTCATATTACGTAATGGGCTTAGTATATTGTGTCCTTGCTTTCAGTACTCAATGTAAAACACTGTTTTATGTGTAATTGCATTTCATTTTCCTTTTCCCCCTTTTTTTCAAGCCATTAATCGGTGTAGATCTTAATAGTTGGTTGCCATCTTTATTCATTTCATAGAATCCTGTTTGTAAGTGGAAATTTTGTTGTGCTGCTAACCTCCAATAACCTGCAGGCCAGATAGAACTCTTCTCCCATGTACCGGTGCTTAAGAACTTTGTGGAGCATTTAAGGCGAAAAAATTACAATGTCTGTGCTGTATACTTGCTTGATTCACAGGTATCTACATCTGTACTTCTGTACATCTTGTCCCATGATTTATCAGTATTTTTTTCTTGAACTAATTCTCTGTTTTCTATGTGCATTAGTTTATAACAGATGTGACCAAGTTCATTAGTGGCTGTATGGCATCGCTTTCTGCTATGGTCCAACTAGAGCTACCTCACGTTAATATACTCTCCAAAATGGATCTTGTAACCAACAAGAAGGACATTGAAAAGTCAGTGCTTACATTACAGAAACCGTTTTTTGTTTCGTGGGGTAGGAGGGGGTGGTATAGGGTTTTCACTCAGTATTTTTTGATAGATTTCTATGATTTTAGTTTTTGCTCTTTGTTCCCTAGTTACTTGGATCCCGAGCCTCGGACACTGTTGGCAGAGTTGAATCAGCGCATGGGCCCACAGTTTGGAAAGCTTAATAAATCTTTGATTGAATTGGTACGTTTACCAAAGTATCGTAAATAATTTGCTCTGAGTAATTCGATGCATATTAAGTCTGCTTCTCAGATAATCACCTCTTTCTGCCCCTTATTTCTCAAACATCTGTAATAGGTAGTAATAATTATTCAGACTGAGGAATTTGATGCAAAGTCAGTGTGCATCTCAATTGAAATCATTTTTCATGACCCATATTTCTTACAAATCTGTAATAGGTCATAACATATATCTTTGATTTGTTGCATCATCTTACCTGTTTTGTCTGCTCTAAAAAAGCAGGAAATCATAGCTTCTAGTGATCAGTCTTCTGAATGAAATATAATGGTTTTTCTAGCCATTGCAGATGATGCCGGTGTAATATTGGAACATTAACTTGATCTGGAGCTATCATGATTACTGTAAGGGGAAAAAGAGGAAAAGAAGAGAGAGAAAAAAATAAAAACTAGTTGCTATTTATGAATCAAAACTTAATCGCATCTGAACAGTTTTAGCTGCAGCGGTGATTAGTGTTTTGATTTGTCTTGCAAAAATGTGAGTTTCAATATAATCTGCTGGCAAATTATTGGCTATTATATCTTATGCACGTGCACACGTCAAATTAGATGAATCTCTGTGGAAGTGTATTGATTTCTAGATGCTTCTCAAAAAGTATTTGTTCATCGTATTCATGTAAGTGGAAGTTGCATCTTGCCTAACTGTTACATTATTTCTCTGGCATCAGGTGGACCAGTACAGCATGGTGAGCTTCGTGCCTCTTGACCTGAGAAAAGAGAGCAGGTAGGAAAGTCCTGTAATATTTTTTTTTTCTTTTAAATTTAAGAAAAAATTCTAGTGCTTCTTCTATTTGTGAAGTTTCTAGAAAAAAAAAAAAAATATATCAAACAGCGCAATGCACCTTGGGTCGCTACGGAAAAGCCTCCTTGTATAATTACAAGGGTAAGGTCTGCGTACAACTGACCCCCCAGACCCCAACCTGTTGGGAATATACTGGGTATGTTGTTGTTGTTGTTGTTGTTAAATTTAAGACTATAACATGGCATCCTACCTGTGCATCGTTGCTTTAATGGTTCCGCTTCCGTGAACCTTCACCTCAAAGTGTCTTTATTTTCTCAAGGTGATATTCTCCGAGTTGCTTGTGTATTGGTAATTTGACTTTAATATTTTATTTAAACTTATTACAAATATTTTTCTTTTCAATAAAGGTGTCACATATCTCATTATTATGGACTGATTCGTGACACGAGCCTATTCTATAAATATTAAGTTTGGTTGATGATTTAGCTTTATTTTGTAATTGTTATTTTAGGAGCGCATTTGTATAAATGTCTCAGTTAAAACTTAAAAGTCCTCTGTTTCTTCAAATTTGCCTGTTTGTTAAAATATGAATATAAAGAATGCAATGACGTGTGTACTAGATATATGTGTGGTCTTGCAGTCGAACTTGATCTATTGATTTATTTTGGCTTATTTATTGCTAGCATCCATTTGAATGAACTTACATCTATGGTATGATAGCAATTTTCTGTTAGTATTTGTCATGGAAATCTAATATTGTGCTTATCGTTTATCATAGATATTCTTGATTATCATTTCACAAGGCTGATATTGCATCTGACCATAATGAAAATACTGTAAATAGAATCAATATATTGTGCATGAAATAGTTTCCCAAAATTTTAAATAATATTACAAACTTCTTAAATTTTTATTATTTGTTGTACAATTATATTTTTATCAAGCATACATGGGTGTCGTACTAGTAAATACAAATCAAACTTCCTCTGTGGGCTGCTATATGTTTCGATTCACAAGCTTATGCCAAGAAAGAGCTGTTCCTTTACTATAATTAATTGCCTCTGGTTAATCAAAATCTACATAGTAAGTCTCATTGTGTCTGTCATGTGCTTATGAGAAGTTAAATTTAGTGAAAATCATTTTCAATTGTCTCTAGCATGAGTAGCAGGTGAAATATAGGTTGTTTACTTGTGGTTTTTGCAAAATATGAATAGTCTCGTTAGGTCCACATCTTAAGCTGCTAATGACGAGAAGCCAAATAAGAACCTCGTACAAAGCGTTGGATATATCAAGTCTGTTGTTCTATTAATTCCTTTTGTCCATGTATTATGCAGTATTCAGTACATTTTGTCGCAAATTGACTGCTGCATTCAGTACGGTGAAGATGCGGATGTGAAAGTCAAGGATTTCGACCCTGCAGATGATGATGATTGAACCTTTTTGCTTCGTTTGATACTTTGTGTTTCTTTTGGTAAGCCAAAGGAAAGCTACTTTGTAGGTTTTTGCCTCTTGAGAGAGAAAAATTGGCTTCTCCTGATTTGGACTTGTGACCGTTTGTCGTTTCTCGTCCGTGATTGTGTTTTGTGACGATGAACGACATGTCATCGACTGAAAAATGGCGTTTTTACTGTGCATCATGTTTCTTTAAATGCTTCCCAAATTGAGATGCATCTCAGTTTGCAATTCAGTGTGCATATGTTTTTACTTAAGTATTGCATAAATGTTTTTAACCAAGTGATGACAGTAGGTTTGTTTGAGTAAGCGTGTGTACTTTGGATGGATGATGGTTTTATCCATTTTGTTTTTTACTCATTAATGCTACTATNNNNGTCGGATTAATGTTACTACTCATTAATGAATCTATTAGTTGTCGTGGTTAGTTTTACTACGAATTTGCCATTCGAAATTTTTCCATCTTATTTTTCTATGTGCAATCTATTTGTATTTATATTTGCGTTGATTTGCAAAAGATAAACTATGTTAGCCTGAATTTAGACCAGGAGTATTGAATTGCAAAATTTTGAAAATCTCATATACTATATGCAAACTTAAGTAAGTTCATTAATAAACTCACAAATTTAAATAGGTGATGATTTTTTTAAATTAGTTAGTACTTATATACGTGTATGGAGTCTACGTGATCAAAATATGACCCGACTTAAACTAGTGTCTGAAATTGCAAAACTACTAAAAAAATCGTGTATTAATCTGCCAAAATTGAAAAAGTTGAATTAAATATGTGAACCAAACGCTCAGGAGCGGCGCGTGATCCGAAAGCTTTTCAGCTAAATGAGGAAATAGGGTAGTCCACACACTCTCTAACCATCGTTTCGATCAGATTTCTGGAGCTGAACTGTGCATATTTACAATCAATCAAGGTTTAGTAGAAACTTTTTGGAGAAAACAAGCTTCTGAAGTTCATCTACTACCTTGGTGGTTTTGTTGGTGGAGCTGGTGGTGGCGGCGGTGAGGTAGAAGAAATCCAATTCACGATGCCGGAAAACCCTAGCGCGGATTCACCAGCTGTCGCCGCCAGCATCGCCACCGTCAAGCGTTATGCTCCTCCAAATCAACGGTAGGGTCTAGTTCCGTGCATGTTTTCGCTCATCCTTATTTTTACCATTTTTTTTTTTTTTTTTTTTTTNTTATCTATTTTGTCTTCTGGTTTTTTAGAAACTTTTAGATCTAATTGGTGGAGATTTGATGGATTGCATGCAGGAATCGATCTCTTGGCCGTCGTAAATCTGGAGGGGGTAAGTTTATATATGCCCAATTTGGGTTGCTTGAAGTGTGTGCAATTTCTCCCACATTTGACTTCAAGGAACCTCTATCTGGTTGATATTTTCACTTTCTGGTTACTTCTATGTTCTAATCTTTGAATCAGAATAGTGATAGAATCTGGTATGCTTAGAGCTTAAATTTTGCTCGAGACACTTTCTACTTCCAATCTGGTGCATGTTCTACTTGTGGATTACTTTATTTGTTACTTATTTGGGCCGTTTATTGATTGATCTCCGTGGATCTTATTGGGAATGTTCTGATATAAGTTTCAATTACCGAAAGTAGGAGTCGATGAAAAAAACTGCCAGTCGCATTGTATATGTAGTTCATGAAAGTCTGAGACTTGTCCCATGTGGACAAGCTTCCGTTATTTTAGAGCAGGAACACATTGAATAATTCCAAACCAGCCCGGCCACCCCGTAGTTTGTCTTCTCTTTAGGGCTTTGTTATTTGGGAATGGTGAACAGATTTGAGGCTTTAATTATTCTATTTGATTATTTTTGGCGGCTGGAATAGATTGAAGCTATAATTAATATGGACAGATGATTTAATTTCTGTTGGGAATGCCCATTGGATAGATTATGAATGTAGAGCTGAAATTGAGTTAATACTTGGGTATTCCTAAGTCCGAACTGCTTTTTGTTCTACATTTATCACTTGATGCTTGGGCCAGTGTCATATTTGTTAAAGCTTTAAAGGTGGCTCACACAGAGAGAAAAAGAATAGAATAGCTTTTTTCAACTATTCACTTGCCAAAGAGAAAGCTTTAGGTACAGAATGCACTTGCTTATGTCTAATAACCTGCAGTTCAATCAACGCACACATGCACAGGCTCTAAATGCTGAATATGGCATTCCCAATTGAAGTTTAGGGCTTTTTTTAGAATCAGCTGTGTATTTTGTACTTACTAAGTTGGATCTAAGTTTTCAAGTGGACAATAGGCAATGTTGGGTTTAGAGAGGAAAAAAAATTGAATAAGGGGAAGAGAGATTGCTAGTATACTGTTAGAGTGGATTGAATCTATGTAAGGAGTTGGATGAACGAATGCAAAAACATATAAATATGATGTGAAAAAGATGTCCTTATTTGATGATTTCGTTAGGTCACAAGATTCCCTTCTGTAGTGCCCATATGAATGCATTTGACAAGCTCCACATGGCAAAAGACCTTGGTGAAATAATAGAAAAATAGTCTGGAAATAGCTCTGTGATGCTAGTATTTGTCTTATTGAAGTAATAGTGGATTAGAAGGAATAATATAGTGTGTCCCACAAAATAGTGAGATAGGTATGGATTGTTTAATAACTAGAAAATACACCTAAGGTATTTGTGACATTCTTGTAGAGATATAGATATACATCTGTATTACTCCTTCATCGAGCAATGTTGATGGCGAAGACCAGAAGGAGGCCCAAACACCCTTGATTACTCTTTTAAAGCGTAGGAAAAATACCTTAATACTTGAGTCAAATCATATAGAAGGTAAAGTAAATGAGAAAATTTTAATTAAAATTTAGCTGGAAAGTGATGCGTAATACAACGAATGTAACATCATAATATAAGACTGCATTATATGGACAACTATGCTTACGCTGTCTGCATAATTATGTCCTTGAGCAGAAAAAATTATAGCAGAATATTATCGTGTATTTTACACTATATTGGTTCCAATGCAAGAGATCTTGGAGCACCTACCAATGAGGCAATCTTTCTTATTTTAAGTTATACAATACAGTTTCATTCAAAGGTGATCGCTTGAAGCCAACCTTGTTTGCTTGAGGAATAGTATGTGTAAATTTTTCTCTCTGAAGGATGCGCAAATACCTTGGTTCATTTTTATGTTTCTCAACCAAATGTTATACATAAACATATAAATAGTTAGAACTGTATTCCGCATTTCTTGCATCATGAAAGAAAATAAAAATCATTTGGAAGAACTCGTATGACATAAGAGTGCTATCATCATTCTTTTCTTACCTTTTATACTTGATTATGCAGATCGACTCGAACGGGCAAATAGCTATTTGAATGATGGAGATAGGAACCCCCTTGGTGCCACCAAAAGTGGTCCCATAGCAGATCACATGGATTCTTCTTACAGCAATCGTGCCAATGAAGCTGTTCGTCCTAAGTTAATTCCTTTATATGGGTGTTGCAACAGTGAGGCTGCACAGCTTCATAGCACCCGTATGTTTCATTCACTTTACCTTTTTTGAGATTAACGGCTGCTTTAATATTTTTTTTATTGAAATATTGGGACCACTTAAAGATTCATAACACCAACCACCTCCCGTCCTACCTCCTACCCAATCAAGGTAAGAAAGAAGATTGGTGCAACTGATGTATGACTGTAGACTTTTACCTCCTGTCCTGTGACGACTGGAGCCTTGGTTACTAGGGAAGAAATAAAGGAATAGGGCAGGGCCTGGAGTGATCCTTACTTTGCTGGATCATGAACAGATATTTCAAACTACCCGTGAATCATGAGCCAACATAATAATTACCCCTCTATACATGAAAGCTCTACGTTACTGGTTATTGTGCAACTTCCAGAATTGATGTGTCCTGCAGATTATTAGAATGATATTAACATTAAACTAGTAGGCTGATAAACTAATAAGCAGGAAAGAGACTTTACAGTTTGCAATGTGCAATGACTACAACTGAGATTTGCTGATATGGTAAATGCGTGTTGACTCTATAACCTTAAAACAAGTCGATATCTTGATGTCACTGTGTGTGAAGGTTGTTCCAGCAGTTTGTGTTAAGAAAACTGTTAAACTCAGGTGTAAACTATTCCATTTTATTGTTTATGGTCTTTATATATGTTTAAATGTTTACTAAGTTACTGAGTTCGAGCATTTTACCTCTGAACTTGTGTAGGTTGGAGAGCTGCCATGAATGCACTGAACAGTTTGCCAGAGGATTCTGTTGGTAAGTGTTGAATTGTTTGTTACATGAAATATTTGGCTATTTCTGAACTTTTGGTTAGACACAATTGATGTGAAAAATGCATGGTGTACCTTTCTTCTTTGTGTGTGTGTGTGTGTCAGGGGTCTTTGACATATAACATCTCCACCCAAAACTGCAATATTTATTTTTCCATCTCAAGTGGGCCAATAATTGAGTTTAGATATGAGTATGTGACATGAAATGTGATTGTTACCTTTAACCTCATGCATTCTATTTCTATCACTAGTAGACTTATATTGTGCAATTTTCACTGTGGTTTGCTTGTTTGACCGTATAGGAGTTCAACCTTTTTTTAGAAATTTACATGATCAAAGTATGATAAGACTTTTATCTGTTGACTTTGGTTGTCATTCGAATCTCAATCTAAGTAATTGGTCTAATTCCAATGTCATTTAGTTATGTTACGTTCTTCTGAGAATTTATAGTTTCTGTAATTGTTAGAGGTTGGTCACGTGGAAATATGCTGCTCATTGTTCTGTCCATGAGGTTGAATAATAATTTTCATGTTGAATTAGATTTTTATCAGTGGTAGATGAGAATTTGTTCCTAACTAAAAACTAGTTGATGTTGGACATTTTTTATATGGAGTTTTAGTACATCTGTCAGTACCGGTAACATATTAAGTCAATGCAAATTGGCAGATAGTTTGATTACGTTTACTATTTTTGTAAGGACAAAGCTAAAGTCTGCGTAAGTGATTTTTAATAAAGTAAAATTACTTAACTTTAAAATTGACTTGTGAGATCAATTACTATTTTTTTTACTGAAACTTCAAGGATTAAGATTCTTACTACGCTGTACCTAATTATTGCTTGATTTTGTGTTTATGCTATTATGCTGGCAATTTATGGAACTTTAACATACGCCATCTCGTAACAATTTCCCCTCAAGTCTCATTGTTTTCGACATTCTGATACCATTTCTAACCTGTGTTGACAACTTGACAACTTGGTAACCGCTAATCATCTGGTTAACTATCAGCAAGTGTCAATCATGAATTGCACTAATTTACAAGTATTGCATGGTAGAATAATAAAACATTATCACTGAGTGGAGATCTATGATTTGGTTTTAACTCAAACTATAATTATTTACGAACTTGTTTACCAGAAAGGCCAGTCATGTATTCCAGTAAGCCTAAGGCCTGGGGTCAAGCAATTCTTCCACACCTGGTAACCAGATTTTCAGTAGGAAACACAATTTTTTTGTTCTTCATTTTCTCCTATATGCCTAAATATTGAGTTTTTCTTTCTGCCTTCAGCTGATTCAATCTGCTAGTGGGGCGCCTTCAGATTTGCAGAGGGATTTCTTGAGTGAACTCCGTCATGCTATGCACAATGCAAATTCAGGCCCCAATGCCTAAAATTGGTGCCCGTAATATTAATTGCAATAAAAATGTTCTACAGATGTGGGGCTTCCTTGGAGCCGATTATGTTTGCATTTGTCTGTTTGCTGACTACACCAAATGACACGCTGCTTGTTATCTGATGTTATTGCAATCTATGTGCCAAGCACAAGAAATCCTAATGACGACTCTTCAAGTTATGCACGTGTGTTGATTTGCTAGTATGTTGTGTTATTATAAATGGTAGACATGTATGTTACAATGGATAACCTAAACTGACAGTCTTGTTTAGTAGCAAGTATGTTGTCATAAAATTGTTGAAGATGTTTCTTTCTACTTTGTACCTTTTTCACTTTTGCCACGTCATGTCCTCAGTTAGAAGCGTGCATATGGTTGTTCGAATTCGTCTAAAATAAAATTCTACTGTGGCAGTAGGTGAAATGAACTTAATTTCATTTACAAGAAGCTGAAAATGGAAAACCATATTTGCAGCTGAAAGTTTTGGTTCTTGATTGAAAAAATTGTGTATGCTTTTCTCTGCCCTTTTCACTTCCTTTTTTTTGTTTCAGCACCAACTGATATCAATAGCACGCATCTTATTAATGTGTATCGATATCCCCCAATGGATATCAATGTGACAAAGGTAAGAGAACACTAATTTAGAAGACATTACTATTTTATAATTTGTGTCATTTAAATTAGATTTCTTGAAGAGTTTGAAGTATTCCGATTATTGCAGCACCCTCATAAAACTGAAAATTGTGGATATCAATTCAACGTGGGTAGATCAAACTGTGTCTACTGGCCACTTGTTAAAATTTTGTGATCTTTCAACAATGATCATGTTTTAGTCACTTACCACATGACATATTAATTCGAGCCCACTGTAGGCAGGAGAGCATAACTGCTATAAAGAAACTTCAATGATAACCAGTACGTAATTTTTCTATTATCTAAATTATCAAGATGGTTGTTGAAACTAACAGTAGTATATATATGCTTGTCTAAAATTAAGATTGTAAACATGCTCTATGAAAAAATTAGAGAGAAATAATAAAGGTGACTCGAAGCTACAATTAACGATCGGGAGACACCGTTGAATACTTTAATAAAGGAGCTACATATATACATATATATTAGGATGTTTTCTTTATTATTATTTGACATATTCAAATAGGATTAGGCGGTAATAGGTATCCCCTCCTCTCACCATTAGATTAATCAAAACTTCAATCTCAACCCTACATTTAATGTACGAGGCGCCAAAATTTTTCTGTAGTCCTCAATAGGTAGTCTCCCATATGTTTCTGTATAAAGGGATGAGAAATAAAGGCAAATTTTGATAGTTATTGAAAGCAGGGTTCTACACGTCTACTTCATAAACGGAGTGAAAGGGCGCCACACTTGCATTTCCCTCCAATTTTAAGTTCCTCCCATTAAGTTTAACGGATGACTTAACAGAGGATATGAAAGTTGATGAATTTTTTCAACTTCGAGTGGTGAAAGTGAAACTCGTGAAAATACGGGTACCAAAGGTGAAATTTGTCCATACTTTGGGTACCATTGCTAAAATTTACCATTTATAGTAATTATCCTAACTATCCTTCATGGGTTTAAAAAATTAATAATAAAATAAAAATATATTCAACATATATTCAACATATATTGTTATAAATTATGACGACAAACAAACGGATCATGTGTCGAACTATCCATGTAGATTATTAACTTATAGAAATATAAAAATATTTATAATATAAATTATTATAAATTATAATGATCAACCAACAAATCATCTGTCAAAACTAGCATCCAATTTCCCTGTCGAACGGTGAAGTAAATAGTTACCTTAAAAAATATTAAAGTATTTTAAATATATATTTTTATATATTATAATATTAATCAACCGGTGTTGATCTATCACGTGAATTATTAAGTTAGAAAAAATCACAATATTTATAATATACATTGTCATAAATTATCAAAAAATAAAATAATTGTAACATAATTAAAAATTAGTAAATTTTATAACCTTAAAATAATGTACGCTGCATTCTTTTTATATTGAGTATCATTTTATAATATTTTCTATAATTTTTTAACTTTACCATCACTTATTTAAAAATTAAAATAATATAATGTAAGGAGGTGTGAGTAAGGATAAAATGAGAGAAGCATTTTTGTGAGAATTGTTTTATTGATATTGTTTAAATATTCTAATTTTTATGTTTTTTAATTTAAGCAGTAACTCTAAAATGATAATTATTTTATAATGAGTGGAATACCCATATTAATTATATATTAAACTGTTATATATCATAGAAGATAAAAAATAATATTAATATTAAAAAAAATTATACTAATTGATATTTCTTCACTACTTTAGTTTATATGAGTTACTATTATTTTTTCGAGCACTAGTTTAATTATATAGATAAAAAAATCTCCTACAAATTGTTTTTTTGAGTGTATTACCTTGTATTCTTTATTCATAATCAAATGATTTAATTTAATAAATTTTATGACATAATTATATTGAAAGACGTAAATGTATTGATAGATTAATGCACAATTAAGTTGTTTTTATAAAAAATAGTGATTTAAAAAAAATATTAATGAAATAAGTTGCATAACCAACTCTGAGCTCCGACCCACAACTGACCAGCGAATGCTAGAAAGGAACCAAACGAGTGGAAGAAAAGCTTTGACGACGTGGCAGTTGTTGGGGCCCACTGTAAGCTCTTTTGGCCAATCAGCAGTCAGCATTCGAAAAATACATATTTATAAAAATATTTTTATTACTCATTAAAAAAGAAAAATAAAAAAAAAATGATTATTAATTTATTATTATTGGTGGAGTCGAGTGATTGCTTATGCTCCAGTATATTGGGGGATTTGTAGCAGTCACAGAGATAAAAGCCGACGGCTGGAGTTTTTTTTGGCTCTATCTATCCAAATCTCGATCAGTTTGAGTGAGAGAGAGATGGAGGAAATTGGGTTCTTGGGGTTGGGTATAATGGGAAAAGCCATGTCCATGAACTTGCTTCGCCATGGCTTTAAGGTCACTGTCTGGAATCGCACTCTATCGCGGGTAAGACCTTTTTTTTTGGCTTCCTTTTTTTTTTTTTCTTTTCTTTTCTTTTCGAGGAACAGAGTGGTGTAAAACTCGCGTCTTTTTTCTTTTGCCCACTGTATTAAGTTCTTATATTGATGATGATTGTTGTTTGTGCCCGTCTGTTGTAGTCTGGAGAGTTAATGTGTTATGCGGTCAATTTATTAGTTGCCTAACTACATAGCAAATATTACTCTGCTTCTTTTAGTAGATCATCTAAAGTTGGGATCTTGAAATTTATCTCAAGCTTGAAAAGGCTGATTCAAGACTTCCATGTGGGATCCGAAGAATATATCTGTTGTTTGTATCCATTCAGTTCAAGTTAAGGATTCTTGCAGATGTTTTCTAGATTAAGCTATGCGACTTCTTTATGGTTGCGGCAATATTTTGCCGACAAGGATATTATCGGCATTCTCTTTTAGTCGTAAGCTCCATAAAAATTTTTCTTTTGTGAGAACATGTTATGTGTCCATCTGTTGAATGCTTGTTTGCTGAGCTGCCCTTGCAATTGAAAGTTGGGAGCATGAATCTCGGATAGAAGAGTCAATTTTTTTAAGTTGGTTTATTCGGGCTCCAATTTGAATGTTTATCTCATTTAGATCCATCTAGGAAGCACATCTTCTTTTTGTTAACGACATGTTTGTTCTTTTAGTATATTTGTTTTTCTTTTCTTCTACACTATCTACGTTCTTCAGTTTTACTCCCTGAGTGCTTTTAATACGACAAAATATATAGATAGGATATTCTAATGCAGTTCTGTCTAAAGATAAATTTCCTGTACATTTTTCAAAGCTTACAGCCATGAAATGTAATTCATATGCTAATCAAATTTGTTAAATACCGTTTACTATTTATTTTTTCATCCAATTTAGTAATATCTACGTAGGTATTGGTCCAAACCAATGTCTTACTTCATATAAAACATCACTACATTTGTTTACAGTGTGATGAGTTGGTAGAGCATGGGGCCACTGTAGGAAAATCTCCTGCATCAGTGATTAAGAAATGCAAGTACACCATTGCCATGTTATCTGATCCTGCTGCAGCTTTATCAGTTAAGTCAAATTCAATTCTATGATCCTTCAAATTGGAGGTTGTAATTATTTTATTATTAGACAAACTCATGTCATATTCTGGTTTGAAAAAAATAAAATATATATATATATATATATATATATATATATATATATATATATGTAGGTGGTTTTTGGTGAAGATGGTGTTCTGGAGCAAATTGGTTCTGGAAAATGCTACATTGACATGTCGACTGTTGATGCCGAGACTTCTTGCAAGATCAGTGAGGTCTTTGATTAAGTAACACTGTACTTAATTTCCTCGAAAGTCTGTTGTAATTGTCAAGTTGCAAGCAGTTATTTACTAAAGATTTAATTTGCCTTCCGGCAATGCTCGAAGATCTTCCTATCTACAATTAAACCTTACTTGCTAAATATATCAGTTCTGAAACTCGAAAATTTCTGAAAAATGAAGCACGAGATAAAATAAGTTGTAAAGCATTGTATTTTGATGGAAAAGGGAAAAATGTTATTTTCAAGGTAACTTAAATTGCAAGTGCGGTTATGCTTTTGTATAATGTATTTTTATGGTTTTAGGCAATCACGTCAAAGGGCGGTTCTTTTCTTGAAGCTCCAGTATCAGGTAGCAAAAAACCAGCTGAGGACGGTCAACTAGTAATCCTTGCTGCTGGAGAAAAGGTGAGAGATCTTGCTACTTACAATGCATGGCTTATTATTGCAAGTTAGTTTATGTTGCCTATTATTTTCTTCAACATCATGGTCCAAACTCCAGTCTCACATGAAAGAATTTGAAGTTATGTATGAATCGAAATTCTCCAGATACTCTTTTGAAGCACATATGGAGCAAATAGAAATTTTTTTGTTACTGAGGGATAGATAGATATTGGGAATAATGAAGTCAAAATAATTTTTCTATTACATTGTTTATTTTATTTTTTTATGCAGATGAGTGATCTCTTGTTGAATCTGGTTGCTGCCTTGTATAATTGAGTTGCCCGATTCCTTTCTGTGGATATGGCTTGATTTCCACTCTCTTTTAAAGATTTTTTTTTATGGTTACTGTAGACGCTATACGATGCGGTGCTGCCTGCTTTTGATGTATTGGGAAAAAAATCATTTTTCCTGGGCCAAGTTGGAAATGGAGCAAAAATGAAGCTTGTAGTGAACATGATAATGGGCAGGTAACTGTAATTCTTTCATCATCTTCTTTCTTAGAATATTGTGTTTCTTGTTATTTGTAATATTTCTCCATAGTCCATACCATTAGAACACAATGAGGATAGCAACTCTGGTTTGATTCATCCTCTGCATTAAAGATCGTATTCCTTATTATTCACAAGTCATCAAGTTTTCAGAAAAAAAGTACATTTCTGTGTTTTTTTTTTTTTTTTNAAAAATATGTTAATATGCACTCAATTTTTTCTGCATTGCAGTATGATGAATGCATTCTCTGAGGGACTTGTGTTGGCCGATAAAAGCGGACTGGACCCACTTGCCCTCCTTGATGTGCTGGTAAAAACAAACGGCTTCAAAAAATTAACACAAATATTTTTTTTCGGAAATGTCTGTTACAGATGTCATGTTTCTGGTTGATGTTGGTGAGCAGGATCTTGGTGCTATTGCAAACCCAATGTTCAAAATGAAGGGACCATCCATGATAAAGAGCACTTATTCACCAGCTTTCCCTTTGAAACACCAGCAGAAAGACATGAGGTTGGCTATTGCTCTTGGGGATGAAAATGCTGTGCCCATGCCACTTGCAGCTGCTGCTAACGAGGTACGGAAAAATAATTAACCTCTAATATTTGCGGGATTTTTTTTTTATTTTTTATTTTTTAAAAGTGAACATTGCACTTATTTGTGGAATTTTTTTGTATGTAATGTTCAGGCATTCAAAAAAGCGAGGAGCATGGGATTCGGGGACCTCGACTTTTCTGCTGTTCATGAAACTGTTGCATCTGGAAAAAGCTCATCTTAATATATTATTTCTATTAAATCAGAAGAATCATAGGAACAGCGATCGGTGCTACTTTTCGACATGATTGTGGAATTATATATTATGATGATCTTAACAGCAGTTTGAAACAGAATAGTGTAGCAGCCTAAAAGTTGTGATAACTGCATTAATCTTGCACTTATTCATATTTTCCTGCTAAAACTTCAACAATTTTTGGATGATTTGAATATATGCGATTGTTCGACATACCAAAAGGGATTTGTATTAGTTACAATTGAATTCTTGTAATGGCCAGTTTACTAATTTATGATTTGTATTATCCATACTCCTGCTGAGGTTTTAAACTTTTAAGTGTCATCTACAGATAAACCTTTCATCAGGTGGCTTATATTCAACGTTGCTGCAGATAAAATTTCTTAAGAGTAATGAAGGTACGCATATGGAAGTCGCAATACATATGGAAATATAAAATGATCGAGACACTAAAAGCACGAGCTAAAACTAAATCAAAGTCCAAAACACATCCAAAGCAAAACTAGGCGGTTGACTAGAGCCTAGCGCCTAGGCAGGGACTAATCGGTGCTTAGGCGTGCTCGAGAAAATATTAATAAATTTATTTATATTTGACATTATGCACAATAACTTATAAGATATATTATATAAACTATATTAATTAATATAGTCGAATACAAAGATTATGCAAAATCTAATGTATTTATAATTATTATAATAATTGTGAAATAATGATTAATATTTTTTATTATATAATTAATATAAATTTCATATGTAAAAATTAGAATTGCTTCATAACTGTCTAGCCCACCTAGGCGACGCCTAATCTTTGGACAGCCTAGCGCCTAAGCCGACTTTTAGTACAGTGAATATGGTTCATTGGAATTGTTACTTCACATCTCAAAACACAACCCATATATATTACCCAGAAAAAAGAGTACAACGAAATGCATTTTCCTTTCTCTCCAATCACATTGTTCTCACAGTGTTGAAGCTTGGCTAGATAGAAAGAAAGAAGTTTGCAACCCAAAATGCTGTCTGTCTTTCACTTTTTAGACTTGGGTTTGAATATGTTCTCCTTGTAGAACTTAAGCTCGGCTATGCTTTCTTTGACATCGTCCATTGCTCTGTGTTTGTTCTTCTTTTTTGGAGCTTTTTTCTTGTCTGCAAAAGGCAACATATCTTAACCTCTAGATTAAAATAAATTTTTTCCTAGGCGAAATATTATCAGAAGGAATTAAATTGGTCGATATCGTGAATGAGCAATTGCAGAAAGAAAAAAGTGACAAAAATGGGCAGACAATGCAAGAGTGTTTTTTTTTTTGAGGTAAAGAAAAGCGGAATTTTATCACCTCTTGGGTACCAACGTAGGCATAATGTCTTGACACTGCTGACATCAACGATGACGTGGGAGAAAAGGGCAGCCAAATCTGGCATGTATTTCTGCACAAAAATTTTAGTAAAATATGAAGACTAGAAAGCTTTGTAGGCTGTAGCAAGAAAATCCAAAAGTTCTGAGGATAAGTTTTCTGATCAAACTGACTAGACTGAATTAAAACTGAAAATATTACACCTATGGAGATTCATGAGAATATAATACAAAACTCGATAACTGTTGACTAATCTTTTGTTTTTAACACCCTTTTCCTCGGAAAGTAGTAGTTAACAAGATATTACATGGTTTTAAACTTGCATAAATGGTCATATACGAGGTGTCATTATTCATAGAGATCCATTTGTATGTTAAGTTGAAACCATTAAAATTTATCGAATTTAAATAAACATCATGTAGAAGTTTCCTTACCCTTAAAAACAGAAGATCCATGTAGACAGAATTTCCTGCTATGAGAGGCACATATGCGCCCACATATCTCTTCACAAATTCGATAACCTATACAGCTCAAAAGGCAGAAAAACCAAAAGATTTGTTTCAGCATCACAATCAACTTTTCTAGCCCAATATATATGCAACAAAATATTATCAAAGTAGAAAATAGTAAATGGATCTATATACAAAAACAGTCGCATAAATCAAATAAAAAATAGTAAATGATGGCATGCAGGAATGATCCCACCCACATCATGTTATAAATATTACATGCATTTTTCAGTTTCTGGGAATTTGCAAACAAGCAATCTAATTACCCATTTATGGGATTTTCAATCAATTTACTGGTAGAAAAATGTGGAATTGGATTGATAGATTAGTCCTATATGTATCTTTCATTTCATAACTAAAAAACAATTGGGTGCGGTGCTCCTGTTTTTGTTTCTCCTAACTAATCTAATATTACATTTAAAAAAAAATGTTCAAATAACACATAATTAAAATAATGAGTAAATTTATCGTGGGAACAATTACTTTTGTTTAACGCATATCGTGATAGATGTAATGTTCGCATATGGATGTATGTTTTCAAAATTAGTAATATCCTAGCTGGGTCCAAGATGAAGTGTGTAAAAAAGCTTCAGGCATCAGAGTTGCCCTAATAACTAACAAGTCCTGTGGAATTTTCAATCTAAATATAGCATATCTCAAAATGCAAATCAACTGGCCATCTACTAAACTTACATGTTTCACGCAATTAAATTTCGTTGCATGCTTGTAAATAAAAGGGACTACCTTTCACAAATCTGGCTAAACTACAGAAATAACAACCTGATATAGGAGTAACACAAAAATTCTATGGACCAATCGGATGGTTTTCTTATGGAGCCATCCATCACTTAATGTGTTGACATGCCTGTCCAAAAGTGTATTTATTGCAGGAAATATGTCAACACACTATTTGTGTGGATAAGTGTGGATGGCTCCATAAGTCGTGTCATCCGATGGCTCCATAGCAAAACGGAGGATTAACAAGGTGCAATTACCTGCTTTTCAGCTTCTTGTTCACTTATTGTACTTTCAAGAACCCTCTCCGTCAAACCTAAGTACCAGTAAAACTTGTGCCCTTAGTGACGAAACCTTAAAAAAGAAAAAACAGTGCTATCCTTCCTGAAATTGAAATATGAATGTACTGTAACTTTATCATTTAGCACGCTCATTCAGAGTAAGACGTTTTTTTTTTTCACTTCATTTAAGGGAAAGACACCAAAACTTGTACACTTCGTCAAAATTGAACATATTAATTCGTTTGTGTTAATTTCTTCAAACCATCACAAAAGGTTACGTGATTCGAGTCATTTTCCAACTATTAAGTGGAAAGGGAAGTATATTCTAAACTCATAAGTTAGTGAACATACTTCAGTTTCTCGAAAGGTAATAACTGCAGAGTCGCATACCACTTTCTGCATGATGTTCTTGACACCATTCCCCCATCTTATCAAGACATTCTTTAGTTTGATGAATAACGAAGTCGGGTCCCTGTTGATTGAATATTCATCAGTTATATGATTTTCAGAAAGGTGGACATGAAAAAGGCTCATAGTCTTCGGCAAATGGCATAACATGATAATATGTGTGCACGTGTCTAAGTAACTCTTGTCTCACCTCAATTGACTTGGTTAAATTCCCATCTGTGACCACACAAGCAATCTCCAGAATTCTATCAACTTCAATATTCAAACCTAAATACAAAGGAAGGGAAAGAATCATGATCAGCTATATGAACCTTGTCTCTCTTTATAGATCATATCTTAAGCTTGCCAGTTGTCTTGGAAAGCATGCAGATAAAATAAAAAAACTAAATAAAGAAACTCAGTTAGCACGTATATAATACAGTATCAAACAGCCTTATTGCTATGAATGGGATCATTATTGCCACCAGCAACAACAAAACCATCACCTTCCAACTAAAATAAATTTTAGGAATAATTGTCACGTCATCATAAGTCGCAACTAAGTTAAACACGGCAATGCTTATCTGTGGAGAAAAAAATAATAATCTTTTTGGAAGATATCTGGCCTCTGTAATGAATCTGAGATGGTGCAGGATAGTATATCAAAGCATAGGACAAGAAGGTGGAGAAAAATACATGGTGTAAGACAAAATATACACTTGATGACATTACAAGAACAAAAAAATGGTTACTCTTTTGCCTTGTCTCCTGTACATTGGCTTAGACATTACTCGTTCACACGGAGGAAAATCTACGTGCATGATCAGAAATGCCATATGGAACAGCTACCAAGGGAGTAAAAGAACATAAGTATATTTACAAGAAATCTAGAGAATGAATTTTGAACTGAAATGAAAAAATGGGGTAGGAAGGAAAAAGACAAAAAGTGGAGGAGACAGGCTATAGAAAAACACACGAAACATGGAATGAAAAATCGACATCTAATTGAAGTCTGAAGACATTTTTGCACATCAAGAAAGGACTCAGGCAGCTTTCTGATACCTAAGCAATAAAGAAAGTCTTAAGTACTTCTTTCTAACAGGGATATCGCAACAATATACTTATCGCATAAGTCTAAAGGACGACAAAAATTCGCTAATGTGACAAAAGATCTAAAAAATGCCTTGAATCTATTATATGCTAAACAAACAACTTTCAGCCATGAAATATTGCATCTTTTTTATTTGACAAAATCCCTGAGAAGAACCAATTTAGAGTTTGTGGGCTCATTCACATAGTATGTGCGAGAAAAAAAAAAGGAAAAGAAAACATTAACCACCTAGATTTCTCGATCTCACCAGTCATTTCCAGGTCGATCCAGACAAGTGGCATCTTAAATATTTCCGAGGCCGTTTCACTGGTTTGTTGATCATCGCTACCATTTGCAGGCACAATTTCATCTTTCGAATGGTCCCATGTTCCTCTATCGGCAACTGAACTTTCCACCTTAGAATCTTCAGAGTCTAACTCGAGGAGTGAAAATGAATTCGATAGTTTATCCATCTCCAGTAATGTGCTAATTAGCAGTCACTAATGAGATCCCGAGGAGTTCACAACTCACAAGAACAGAACTTCAGTTCTCCTCCATGGCTGGGTCAGTATTGCACAAGTCGGAACCGTTTTTGTCCATTTCAACCCGATTAATTGAAAATTTTCAAGCTTACGAACTGGAGAAAATGATGGGAGCCCTAACTTTAAGGCATTAGAATTTACGGGATAAACATACCTGCTCGAGATTTAAACAGTACGGCGGAGGAGGACGGGCGGTAGAATTGACCATAGCAGCAGCGGCCGACTTTGCTGTGCGGGTAAGGTGGAAAGTCGCAATTTGAATTGGGCGTTATTATTCACCGCCCCCTATATTACTAGTCACCGCCCCCTTGGACAATTTTGCCCTTCTCATTTTTTCTAAACATCTCAGAGGAAAGTGTACGGTGAAATGTCATCAAATTCGGAGGTACGAAAAAATACGTGTCCGGCCGCCGGTTCCGGACAGCTTATAGCCCGTCCGGAACCGGCGTCCGGACGGCTTAAAGACCGTCCGGAAAGCATGGCCGCTCGGACCGGACTTGTCCGAACCGGCCGGAAACGACGGCCGGTCGGAACCGGCTCCGTCCGGTTCGGCCGGCCGGTCGGCCATTTTTTTTTTTTTTTTAATTATTATGTTATTTATTCGAAATAATTATGTTATAAATTGGACTATATTATTATGTTATAAATTATTATGTTACATTTTAGACTTGATTATGATATAAATTGGACGTTTATCGTGTTAGGAGTTACAAATTATTATGTTATATGTTGATTATAATATAAATTGGACGTTTAGATATTATCGTGTTACGAGTTAGAAATTATTACATTATATATTAGTTTTAGTTATGTTATAAATTGACGTTAGATAGTATCGTGTTAAGAGTTACAAGTTACTGTGTTACTGTTTATTATAATATAAATTGGACGTTAGATATTATCGTGATCGTGTTAGGAGTTACAAATTATATTAATTGAACGTTAGATAATATCATGTTACGAGTTACAAATTATTATGTTACATCGTAGAATTAATTATGTTAATTTAACATGTTATAAAAATAAAAATATTGTACTATATAGCAGGAGTCATGGGAAGATTTTGGAGGAGATGGTGTAGATTACAGTCTGCGTTTCGATACATCTTCATTCTATAATAGTGCTCAGGAGGCTATTGAAGCTGCAAAACACCAGGCAATGTTGAATGGTTTTCTATTAATTATTTCGAGCCACAAAAAGAAAACGGTCAGACTTTTGAAGTGCCATAGAGGCGAACGGTACAGAGGCACAGGCGGAAATTCTAGAAGGACAAAAACGAATAAGTGCGGCTGCAATTTTGAGATCAAAGTAAAAAAGGTGTCCGGCTTTCCATACTGGAAGATCTGTAGATGTAGCAATGAAGAGAAAGGCTACCATAACCATGCATTTGCTGTGTATCCTGAGGGTCATAGCCAGTTGAGCGGTCTCAGCGCTTCATCTAAGAAAATTGTTCGTGACATGACGGACGCTCAGGTGGCCCCGAAAAAAATTATGATCGCGCTGAAGGAAAAAGAATCCGGGAGACAACGTTCATGTGCGCCAGGTATATATATTTATATCTTGTAATATATCTTGTTCGTAACTTTTACTATTGTGATAGTTAATAATTTGTTTTAAATTATAATAATCATTATAATTAACGCCAATCGGTGACAGGTATATAACTTTAGAGATAAGCTGCGGAGAGAGGGTTCCGACGGTAGAGACGTTCCTACTCAGCTTATGCATTTGACCGTGAGCAGCCAGTATACAGTTTATGTAGAATCCGATCCGAACACGAAAGTGTTGACGCATATATTCATGGCCCATCCTGCGTCGATCAATCTATTCCGGACATATCACTGGTATGTCGGTATAGATTCCACGTATAAAACCAACAGGTATGTTACTTTATAAATACTTTATTAGTATGAATCTTAAAAGTGTTGACGCATATATTTATGTGCTTATATTTTTTGTCTTCTTGGTCACATTTGCACAGGTACAAGATGCCGTTGGTCGAGATGATTGGGATGACGCCGTGCAACCGGAACTTCCTAATTGCGTATGCCCTCATCAGGGACGAGAAAGAGACCAGTTACGACTGGGTTCTAGACAAGTTGAGACTACTGATAGGCCAAAGCGTATATCCTCATGTTGTTGTCAGTGACAGAGAGTTGGGTCTACTCACTCCTATTCAGAGGCATTTTCCTGTAGCAGCCCACTTACTCTGCACGTGGCACATCAACAAGGATGTGGAAGCCAGAACCTACCACCTATTTGGGAAGAATAAAAAATTCTCGGAGATTTTCACGCACAGTACGTGGAAGGCGATTGCAGAGGCCAGTACGTTCGATGCCTACAACGATGCCGTTGCCGAGCTGCGCGCAAAATATTCGAACAATGCAGAGGTGATACGGTATGTGGAGGGCACATGGTTAGTGCACCGCGAGAAGTTTGTGAAGGCTTGGACCAACCGAGTGACACATTTTGGAAACACAACTTCCTGTAGGGTGGAGAGTGCCCACTCTGCGTTGAAGGAGTGGCTTCAGACGTCCACCGGCGCGCTCGATACGGTTTGGCAGAAGATTAATAAGCATATCGATAATCAAGTGACTGAAATCAAGTACGTACTGCAATTTTTAAATGCGTTATTATATTACTGCATTAATTAATTATAATCTAACGTTATGTAACGTATTATCAGGACGGCGCTTGAGGCCTCGAGATCTAAGAAGAATACACGGTATAAGGGAATCCGTTTCGCGAGCGTGATACTGAGGGTCTCGCATTACTGTCTGAGTTTATTGGACGCTGAGCTTACGAGGATGCACAAGTTGGACACCGATGTTTACACTAGCTGCGGTTGTGTATTGCAGCTCACTCATGGACTTCCTTGTGCCTGTCTCCTCCGTAACGCAGAAGATTTCGACGTTCCGATTGATCTCGGAATGATTCACCAGTTCTGGAGAACGCTCGAGATATTAGAGCCAGGTAATTTAAGATTAATGTTTTATTTATAATTTTCTATTAAAATACATTATTTGTTTTAATTCATTGACTTTTTTATCGTATACTTGTAGGGACTGGTCATCCGAGCCAGGCGAGCAACGCTGCATGGTCAGATGCGGCGTTCTTTCATACGCTTGTGACTGAGGTTGAAACCCGCGATCCCGCGACGATGCGGTACGTGAATAAGTTCATGTACAGTCATCTTTACCCAGACCAACAGGATTATGCGGAACCTGAGGTTAAGGATAACCCGCGAGGTCGTCCCAAGAAAACTAATTCAACTAAGCGTAAACCATCTGCTTTTGAGTACAACGAAAAATCGCGAGGTCGGAAATCGAGCCGTACGACCAATTCTTCGCGTGGACAGACAAGTTCGTCTTCTCAACAGTCACAAGGGGATGAAGGTCATACATTTTTTTTTTTAAAATCGGCTGAGCGTTAATTAAAGTATTTATATGATTATATAAATTGTGACGTGAAATTATTATGATATTTATTGCAGAGTTTAGACCGACAAATATTTTTGGATTTTCATATTGGCAATGTATCCCCTGGCATATGTTGGACTACATAGTGAGTTACCTGAATGTGGAAGCGGATGGTAACTGCGGATTTCGGGTCATCGCGAGTCACATGTATGGTCATCAGAAGTACTGGCCAGATGCAAGAGAAAACATTGCGAAGGAGGTCGACAACCACCCTGAATTGTACGAGTACATCTATTTTAGAGATATCGAGGCCGGACTCCGTCGCATAAGGTGGGCCAGAGGCTCTTGTGGACCGACTCACTGGTTCGAAGTTCCGCAGGACCTCTATGCCGTTGCGACCCTATTTAATGTGGTTGTCGTTCATTTGAGCTCTGGTCCAAACGGTGGGCAGCACGACTTATTCAGCACCACAGTGTTGCCTCTCACTGCACGATCATCGGCTAGAGGACCATGTCGTGAGATTGCCATTTGCCATCTTGGTACCGTAGAACACTACATTCGTTTAGATTTGACTGATGATTGTCCATTACCGCCTATTCATAACATGTGGTTCCGTTACCGAGATCAATCGGTTGTGGGTTGGGAGCATCAGTACCTGTCTAGGTTGCAATTGTGGTATACTGTTCAAACAAAGCGTTCTTGAATAAAAGAACGATATTATTCAGTTATGGTATGACGCTTCTCATTCAACTTAAGTTTAGCAAATTAAAATAGAAAATCATTCAACTTAATGTTTTACAATAATAATTAAAAAAAAAAAGAACATTCATTACATTATTATTGGGCATTGTCGTAATCCAACTTAAACTTAGCCAGCTGTTCTTCGACTTCCGCCGCCACCGGACAATCGCATCCCTGCTGCCAAATCGATGTAATGCCCAAAAGACGGTCCACCCACTAAAAAAATAGAAGAATAAAAACATAAGACTAAAATTTATTAAAAAAAAAAATTTGTAATGAGTTAACATTAATTAAAATTTAGTAACCAACTTACATAGGCGGTATTGACACGCGTTGGGACCTCGTCCTCGTCCGGCAGCTCCTCGCCCATGAGAGTCGGATGGGAAACCCGACTGTACCACTGCAGGTAATCCTCAGTCGCCTCCCCGCGATCCTGTGTGGTCTGGGTCAACATACTTGTGTTGACCGTCCCAGACATCGGGAACTGGGTCCAGAGGGATACTGCACCAGCCTCAGAATGCTCAACCTTGTAGTTCCTAGACTCCCAAGCACGTACTGCACTGATTGGCGGGAATATAGGGGGAGGGACAGTCTGGACATACCCCAGCTGACGCAGACACCGCGAAGGCAAGTACGGCTCGACGACATCGCGGTATCGAATCCATCCGCTATAAAGAGTCCTCGGCTCTATCGCATCTGGGCTGGAGCTGCCGTATGGCAACCATTGCACCTGTTCACAATTGCATAAGAGAATTTATAAAAATAATTATGTTATTTTAAATAACGGGTAACTAAATTTAAATAAAATAAATTCACGTACATCGGAGGCAGTGAGTCTGTCGAGGCGCCGACGGATCGCTGTGAGCCGATCGTCTGACCGTGGCGCATTCCCTACGCCCCACGACCGTGATCGTGCGAGACAGTCAGGACCGATGGGTAGACGCCCTCGGGGTCGGAAATCGGGGAAATACTCATATATCCAAGACTGTAGCAGAGTCAAGCAGCCCGACATCTGGGCAGAGTCCCCTCGACTGGCAATACCTAGCTGTCTGTACAAGTATGCCAGCGTAGCCGATCCCTATGAGTAAACCTCAATC